GGGAAGAAACCAGGAAAACGCTGTGTATTTTGGGTAACATCAAACTCCACACATGGCCCAGTCCTAAACTGCATCTTGACTATATGGATATAACTTCTCTAAATTATTGAGCCAACTGGTGAGCCAACTGAAACAAAATCTCCAAATAGAATCCAAAGAATTAAAACCAATTAACATTTACCAGAAAAAAATGGGCACAAGTGCTAAGACTAATTTAATTGACAAAAAGCCCAAATGCTTGGTGAACATCCTTATATTTTCAGTATTGCAAGAAACAGGTTACAGTTAGCTTGGAATGACACTAAGTTTGTAGAAGCAGGTTCTGATCCACCCCCTTGACCTTCCCCACGTTAGAAAATCTATGTTCAAATATCGTCTAATAATTCTTACCTAATCTGTACATTAAAAAGACCAACATTCTGCTCCTTTGGCTATTTTTTCTTTCTATTGGTGAACTACCTTCTCTCCTCCTGTGAATACCATTGAAATCCAGGTGTAATTTGAATGCAGTATGTGGTTTAGAAACACCAGATTAAAAGAGCAATCTGAGAAAACCCAAATCTTTATTGAAAAGATGAAAAAAAACCCTCAAGGAGAAATCAGAGGTGACAACCCATTCTTACAAAGTTTACCATACTCTTCCAGGTATCAGTACTTAAAACATAAAAGACAAGATTTCAGTGATGGCAGTTGGGCTTATTTTTGGGTCACTAAAAACAAAATGCATGAAAAAAGATTTCATCAGGGAAATTCCTGCTCCTGCTGCTGCTCAGGCATTTCAGAATTTTTCAGCTCCCGCACACAGGAAGGCAAGGTTTCCCTTTGCTTGCCTCTCAGACTTTTTTTTTTTTTTGTTGCCTTTTTTTCTTACATAAAAGTCTGTAATAAGGAGGAAGGTCAGGAATTAAGGAGGAGAAACATACACAGGCAAGTTGTACATGAAAAACACCCCATGCTGATGTGTGAACCTTGGTCAGACAGGTTTGACTTGCGTATTTTAAAAGCTGAAGGAACAAAAGTGTCTGAGTCCAGGAGCAAGAGGTGACTTCACACAGCAAAAGGCATTTCATTGCAGCCCCTGAATGAGGTGCTGAGCAGTCACTCATGTCTTCTCAGCTCCCTGCCCTCCATGACTTACCACTTAGAAAAAGAATCCTCCATGAACTGTGTTTTATACTGGAGTCAGCCTGGTTTCAGTCAAGATGAAATTTAGTCCACTGTTTATGAACCTTCTGTTTTTACATTGTTTAATTAATGAGTTTTATCTAAATCTATGAATTTCCAGAAGTCTAATTACATCATTGTTTAGAAAAAAGAACAACTTAAAAAATTAGGTACACTCTGAAAAATAAATCTTTGTGTTTTCAAAACAGCTCTCACGAGACCCAAAATATTCAGTATCTGATAACATAATGAATAAAATCCATCTTTTTAATTATTGCTGACATACTAAGACTTTTTCAAGGAAAGTTTTCATAAAACGTATAATTTTATTGCCCTTATCCTTAATGTCCTCATTACTTGAGTTAAAAATTGAAATGCATTATACAGAATAACTACAGCTGGAATTATTACAATCCAGTTGAATCAACTTCAACAAAAGCACACAAAAAATGCATCAAGAACCATTGTTTCAAAAGGGGAAACTTAGGTAAAGGTAGAGAAACTAAAAAGGACTAAGAACTTCAGAGCACAGAGGAAACTCTGAATTTCATTAACACAAAAAGGTTCAACTCCTTCCTGGAATGGGTGTCTCAAGCAAGTAAAATGGAACACTAACGGAACACTTGGATATGCAGGGGGTTTATAAAACAACAGAGGAATGACTTACCAAAGAATGCTATGTCTCAAAGATGAGGAAAATTACAAATAGAGCAAAAATTGCACATAGTCAGACTAAGTTAGACACTGCATTAAAAATGAAGCCAAAAAACTATTCAGCCATAAAAAATGGTAAGTAAACATGCACAGTGGTGAAGCAGCAATAAGTAAAGATAATGTATGAAAACCAAACAATAAAACACTGTGTACACAGAAGATGATGTTGGACATGGAGGAAATGGGGAGGGGGGAGAAGTATAGAAATAAGTAATTCTAAAACTGATGGGCAAGGAAACATTTAAAACACAACACACTGACCAGATGATTCCAAACCCACAAATTTGGACAAAACAGCACATAACTGCACAAAACTGCAGACCAATGGGTTTTAATAAACTCAGTGAAACATGGAATCGTCCTTAAATAAAACTAGCAATGCAAAAATGCAGGTAGGAACAGCAAAAGTAGTGCAGGTAAGAACAGCAAAAGTAGTGCAGGTAAGGCTGGTTGATTTTAAGTAGACCCAAAATCTTTAAAATATAACTTTTGAAGAAGATAACCAGGGGGTGGGGATGAGGTAAAAATAGGAAAACACATAAACAGTTTTAAGAACAAAACCTCTGAGAAAAGGTTCATCACTGAAACCAAGATTATATATATTAGAACAAGATCTTTGAAGTGAAATTTCATCAAGGTAGAAATAATTACATGCTCCTTTGAGACTCAAAATGTTGGATACCACCTAGTGAAGTTCCTGAAGTACTTTATGTTATTGAGTATATTCACGAGTCACCCAGAAATGTGGGACAAGAGCTGCAATGAAATTTCTTGGAAAACAAAACTGGGAGGAACACTCAAAGAAAAGGACTGGAATTTTAAAAATGAAGGAGATTAAGGCTGGAATAATAAAGAATTCTACCTTAAAGAACTAAATCAAGTAAAGGTACATACAAGGTTACTTGGAGACTGAAAACATGCATTTCTGTTATAAAATCAAACATGAAGAAGAGTATTTGTTTTACTCCAGAGCAAGGTTACTCCATGGCATAAACACATCATGTCTGTGAAAAGGCCAGTAGCATCAATAATGCATCATTTAAATAACACCCAGAAGAGGTAAGGAAATTATTCCCACTGTAATATGTATTGATGTGAACAGTTTTCATACAAGCTCTCAATTTCAGTCATCTGTGCAGAAGGAGGATTTATTCAAGTGGGAAGAGATAAAATAAGATCTACCAGAACTGCAAGAATACAAACCCACTTTGCAAGTCCACACAAGAAGAATACTTGTTTCCAAAATGAGGTCAAGATATCATATTTAGATATCATTGATAAATGAATTAAAATGAATTAAACCCCACTGGGGACTGCATCTGAAGCAACACAACACATCCACAGGAAAGCAAAAGAATCTTTCACATAGATGAAGTCTGGTAATCCTGGGAAGTTAAGAGTTTTATTTTGAAGCATTTCAGTTAAACATATTTTAAAAGAGTTTCATTCCCATATAAATTTGCATGGTTTAATTATTGATAAGGCAGAAGGACTTTTGAATCATTTTACATTTTTACCCTTAACAGTATCATGCAACACTAAGCTGATGCATTTGCTCGTCACTATTAGCAATGAACCAGTCTATACTTCAACTGAAAACAGTTTCATATTTTTTGTTTTACGTATTCTGCAATGAAATCTAACCCAAATATGAAAGATCTCTGATATACATTAAATTATGTGAAGTATTTCCCTCCTCTCCCCAGTTTTATTTTCCTCTCATTTTGCACTGTACATGCTCCAGCTTAACACGTATCTCCAGCCTTGACCAAAACTAATGATCCAAACAATTGCTATAGAAGTATATCTTGAACTAAGAGACTCCAAAATATCATAGCAGATATGGCATAAAACTCTTCTGCTGATGTTTCAGTTGCCCACACCTCTCAAATAAAACCTTACGAGAAGTCTCCATAAAAACACTACTTCCATTTGCCTCATCAGAATGACTCTTCTCTTACAAATTACAACCACATCTCATCCCAGCCTTAATTTCCTTTTCATGCCAGTGCTCCAGAGTAGGAGGATTTGATATCACAACTTGCCACTTGATATAGACAGCTGATTGAAACAGTTGAAAGGCAGTCCCAGCCTCACACGGGGAGGAATGGACAGTTGTTGCTTGGTGATCACCCTGGTAATCAATCATACCATGGATAATATTAATTTAGTGACAAACACCACTGCTGTGGGTTTTGTGTCAATCATTAGACTCCTAAAGAGCATTCTACTAAAGAAGATGCAAACCCTCATTCTGACATATAATGGTTTGATACTGGCACACCCATCAAGGCAGATACATTTAGATAAAATCATAAACAAGTTAAGAATAGTAATAGAATAGCACTTCTTTTTAAAAAGTCCTGAATCAGTTCCTTTCAACAGTGTGACAGTTACTCACTGAGTGTTGAAAAGATAAAGATGCTTGGTTTGCCTTCCTGTCACAGTAATACTATTTCATTTACATATTATGTTTCTCAAAACAGTAGTAATTTTAATACTGTAGGACAGACACCCAAGTGAGCTTCAGCAGCTGAGTGAACTGACACGGATATGTGAAGTAGAACAGCAGATGGTTACCTTTGTTTCTCAGCAATGGGTTGTGCATTAGCATTTTATGATTGATTTTTTTTGATTTTTTAAGTCATCCTCATCACCTCTGTGCCCATATATGTCTGATACTATTTCAGGGACAGGGTCACCAAAGCATAACAGATGGAAGTATAATGATTTCTGTTAACAGCAACTTATAAATTATGTTCCACTACAGTTCTTGTGCATCTCAATGGAACTTTTGGTTTTGATTCCTCCCATCTACATTTTTGAATCTGCTTTTTTCCACCACAGGAGAAGGCAAGCATAGGATTTGCAACCTGACCAGGGACACTATTCCCCTGTGTGGAAAAGGGAGGGGAAAGGAGTGACAGACCAAACTTGTGCACAAATCACGACTCAGGCCTGAGGCAGCAGCTACAATTCCCATTAGGCACTAACATAGTATTTCTGTCTAAATATTTCAATTTGCAGCAAAAAAAAAAAAAAGGCATTTTTCCCCATGGCAAAACAACAAAGAAAAATGCCTTTGTAAGAGACTTATAAAAACGTGTTTACAGTGGGCAAAATATTCAATCAAGTTTTATTTATTTGCTTTCAATACAAATGAGTTTCTTGAACAAACATTTCGACTGAAATGTCAGCAGTGGCATGCAGGTCCTTTTCTTGCATGGTTGAAATCTGTTTAGAACTAGAAATGAGCACAAATACTTGGTTCACTGTAGTAGACATTAGTCTTGGATGTTGCTTAGTGTGTTGCTTCATATTCAGTTACATTGCTTTTGAACACATCTGAGATTCCAGTCTCCCCATCTCTATTTAAAAAAAAAATAAAAAAAGACACATCAAGATAAAGGTTAAACTACCTCACTTTTGTCTGTGATAATCTGATCATGGAAATATCACAACTTTCAGCACACAAAAATTAAATTTTCAAGAGGGCAATGCAGCTTTTCTTGCCTTCTGAAATGCAGGAGGTAACGAGACAAATCAGCTGTGTACCTCAAATCTGGCACTTTGAATATTCCCTGAAAGATGAAGAATTTCAGTCTGGTACTTATAAGCTTATCAGCTCTTAATTTTATGCGTTGCCTGAATAGAAAGTTCAGTTCTTTAGTCATTTACAGAAAAAAAATATGTAAATATGATGGTGAAAACTTTTATTAACAGTTTACAATTTGAGAAATCACTTTAATTTAGAAAACAATCACACCGACTCCTGCAATAAGTAGTAAAAATCAACCCACATGATAAACTATTTTCTGGCAAGTTTTATTCAATCTGCTACAAATATGATGAGTTATGTAAATGACTAAGCATTTCACTGAGGTAAATAGAACTGTCAGCAAGAGTTAACTTTACTCAAATCAAGAATGAAACACTTTATTAAATGTAGCTTTATGAGAATTATATGAATTTTCACATTCAGCCTATTTTTGTTTAACACTTTGAACAATATTAGAAGATTACCACAGAGACAAGGTCTTATCTGCCTGCTCAGATTACACTGTACTTACACCGAGCCATACAGCATACCTGATTAGCCCTAAAAGGTCTCTTTGGTGGTTTTCACTTTTAATGAACTGGTTGGAATTCATTATACAATAATTGCAAGGAGGTCCCACAGATAAGCCTCTGTCTTTAGGGGGCGTGGTACTGACACACAGCAATTTTTCTCAAAAAGGAAGAAAATCCACACGCCTTCCCTGCTAAATGAACTGTAGATAGTAATCTGAAACCCTCCTTGAACACAGCAAGACACAAAGAGCACAAAAGAAAGTACATGACAAGTAGAGAAATGGGCTTCATTCAGCTCTCAGCTTACACCGTTTGGGCCAGGTGAAACCCCATCAGTTTTCAACACTGACAAAAATTGCATCCGTCAAGATAAAACTTCTGCACTTTTATTTTTGCATTGCAACATTTGAAAATGATAAAACACAAGTATTTACTACAGACAACAGGTAGTTCTGTAGTTCTGTACGTTTTCCTACTCCCTGGACAGGCACAAGGCTTGGAAAGCAATCAGGTGCTTGAATTCAGCTTTGATGCAATAGAACTCAAACCATCATAAAGAAATATTGCAGAAATGAGGAGGTGCCTCAAGATGAAGCTGCTTATCAGACTCAGTGGGGCACACAGATCATCAAAAATAAATTGAAATTGGTGCTGAAAAAGCCTAATCAAATTCTTCACATTTGCATTCACTACAGGAGAAGACGAGAGGTCCATGCTCCGAGTCAGTCATTGACTTTGTCAATTAAACTGAAGTTCAACAGAAGTGATTTTAAAAAACAAATAAAAACACCAAACTGAAACAGATTTTCCAAAGCAGATGATAATTCAAGCAGGAATTGCAACCCAACTGCAAATCAAGGTGCTAGACTTGTAATAGTAAGGTGTCCTATTTGTACCCTGCAAAAAAAAGGAACAAGATAAAACTAATACAGTTCTAACCTTTAGGAAGGTTAATACACAAGGTGATTCACAGAACTACAGAGAAGTCTAATTTGTTTCAGGAAAACAGAGCCATTAGAGTAAGATAGTCATTAAATATATTTGGAAACAAACATGCCTTTTATTCAAACAAACTACTTCACAAATGTATGTGGATTCTTTGAAAACGTGTATGAGGACAGATGAACAGGTGTTCAGTTAATTTATTAGTATATTTGCACCTTCAATAAGTAAATAAACCCCCCAAACAAACAAAACACACAGAAGACACACATTTTCAATGGTGTCCTTTAAAAGACATCAAGTCTTTCTAGGAAGAACCAGTCTCAGTACAGCACAGAGTAAGACAGCAAAGGCTCCATTATTGCCTACCTAAATTGGAGTGTGCTTGTAAGTGCAGGATCTTAAATAGAGACTTGTGGCCTGGACAGGGTGATAACCTGTGTATTATACCAAGTATTGTGCAATAATCAAATCTATAACTGACTACAAAGCACAGAAGCACCTCATACGTGATAAAATGTCAAATGAAATTCAACCTTAACAAATGAAAATGGGAAAAATAACAATACATATAATGATGGATTTGGAAGGTACTATTTACATTAGAAAAGAGGCACAGGAGTTAGTGGGGACAGTGGGTATTTAGCATGGGGAAGGTGGTTTTTTAACAGAAAGTCAGAAAGTGTCAAATAACAATCCACAGTGTACCTGTACTGTGAATACTTTACAGTACTTTTCTTAAAGAGCAGAATTTCTAGGAAAAGGTACAAGTGAGGTGATCACAGTCAACTGTACGACCTCAATTTCTACCTGCTCAGACAGGTGCAGAACAGGAGACATGGCTGTGGCCATAGTAAGGCCTACACCATCCTAGTGAGGGATTAGTTTCATAATTGAAGTTTATTAGCTTGGAGGACAGAGTTGTTTCATCCATCAATATCCCTGTGAAGACTTCTAAACACATCAGGATTAGACTTCTTTAATAGTAGGTACTATGTAACATTGAAAAGCTATTTGGGGAGACGGGGTAAAAAGGTGTTATAATATTTAATGATTTACTTTTATATCAGGCTGTACTTAGATTTTTTTCTATAAGTGCTCCACTTAACTATTACCCCAAATCAAGCCAAATTCTTAGTTCAAAGCAATGTAATTTGTTCAAGACTCCATAATAAAGTTAAACTACTTGTCCTAGTCATAGTGTAAAGAGCTGTCTGTGTATTTGCGTGGTTTTTTCTGGCTATCTATGTTAAGAATATCAATTATTTGGTAGGACTTTGGGGTGGAGAATGTAGCCTGGAGGTGTGAAAAAAACTTATTAGGATACTCATCTATGAGACAGGCTGTGCTTCTCAGAGGACAAAGCCTCACTATTGATTTCCCCAGTTTTACACTTCTCCAGAGCTCCTTTTAGTGAACCATGGAAGTAATTCCACCTCACACTTCTCATGGACAGCTGGCAATTCTTCAGCCTCAAGTTTTACTTTATTAGCCATCTATTCATGGAACTGACTTACACAGGGGCTTAGATCTTTTATGCTTCCTTTTTTGCTCTTGATCATCTGGTAGTTCACAGACATCTTGATTCTGGGACACGACAGATTTTGGAAAGATATGATACTAGGTTTCCATAGACACACTAAATTGCAAACAATTCCTTCACTAACCTTTTTCTCTCTTCTGATAATTTAGTCCTTTTGTATTAGCTTTTAAACTGCAAGAAAGTAAAGTTACTGTATCAGGGCTAGTGTTTAACCAATGCATTCAGCAGGTAAGTCATCTCCAGGAGCCCAAATGCTTTCCATACAATAAAGTTAGACAAAGTTAAACAGAGAGGACAGTGATGTGTGAGCAGATATTTGCACCACACCACACTTACTAAATCAAGGATTAAAATATATCCAGACGTTTAATGATTTCATCTTTGAGACTGTTCTGTGAGGATTCAACCCTTCTCTTCAGCCATACGGAAAAAAATTTTCTCTGTACTTTCAAGTACTTGAAGAGTTGTTCAGTGCAAGCTGAAATCCACACACTTTTCTGGTAAGTGTATAGGTAACTAGAGTTCAATTTAATTTTTAGACTGAAGATACAACATCTTCATTAAGAAGTTCTGGTAAAATATGGTTTATTCATCTGTCAGAAAAGGTCCTCAAACCCCCTGCAGATTCTCCACATGCCAGTAAATATGGGAATATTTGCACTGTCACATATGTTTAAAATTTTAATCAAAGTATGTCAATGCTTATGTAATGAGAGATTTTTTTCCTGTGGTGAAATGGTCGTAATGAAGGTTTCAGAATTACCGTATATGTTCAGATGAACTGAAAACTGCCTCTGTCTCTGAGCAGTCGGTCTCTTCTTCCAGACAACCAGCAGTAGGACAAGAAGGTATGGCCTTAAGCTGTGCCAGGGAAGGTTTAGGTGGGACATTAGGAAGAAGTTCTTTACAGAGAGAGTAATGAACCATTAGAATGGGCTGCCCAGGCAGAGGGTGAAGTCTCCATCCCTGGAGCTGTTTAAGATGAGACTGGATTTGGCATCAGTGCCATGGTCTGGGAACCACAGCAGGGTTGGATCAAGGGTTGGACTTGATGATCTCGGAGGTCATTTCCAACCCGGCTGATTCTATGATTCTCTGATTCAGCATTCTCACCCTTGACTAACTGCTTTCCAAAACATGCAAACCAGTAAATTTCATCCTTGATAACTGTCATCACAGGCTGCAAAATGCTTATCTATAACTATTGTTTTCATATTTTCAGTCACTTGGATCCCAACTTGCCAAGTCTGAGTTTGAACAAGCAGTACTGGAACCAAACCCTGGATGAAGTTGGATCCAGAAGCTTGGGCCACCAGCTCACCTCCACCTTCTTACAAATTTCAGACTCTCTGAAGAGTGACCTTTAGTATAGGGAGCTGCACCATGTCCACAGATCTCTAGGGGCCACAAATCTGAAGTTGTGGATGCCCCATCCCCGGAAGTGTTCAAGGTCAGACTGGATGGGACCCTGGCACTCCTGCCTGGAGCAATGGGTGGGAGGGTTCCTTCCAAGACTTTCTAGGAGTCTATATTCTTAGAAGCTACATAAACATATGCTTAACTCTTCCAAATAGTGAACTATTTGGGGAATAAAAGCAAGTTTTCCTCACATTCACTCCAAATTGCTCTTTTTCAGAAACATGACAACTCACACTGATTTAGAGAAGGCAAGTACAGTAGGAGAACATGGAAAGGGACAACATCATTGCCATCTGGATGGGAAGTAGATGACATGATGACATCCAGACACTGCGGAGTAGCCCTAATGACAGGTAATTATAGAAAGGAATAGTCCCAAAGGAAAAGAAATCC